ATTTAAACTTAAACCGTGATGGGCACTCATGGGCTGCGACGAAAATTGTTATTAATTTTAAACGACCCGAATAATAGCGGGAACATATTTGAGGTTAAGACCGTTTACGTCTTCATTATTCGATGATTATGATTTGTAAAAATTAATCGCCTGGCAAAAATCACCACGGCTCCGAGTGCATAGCTTAAATTCGAATTTTGTGTTCGGCGAGGTAAGATCAAATACTCAAATTAAATTTATTAGTGTTTTCCAATAATTCGCATAACCTCAAATAGCTTGGAAAACGAAAAAACGGTTTGTCCGCCTCCCCCTTCATCGCCGCTTCATTATCGAGTGCCGCCACAAGCGTCATCCCCGCGATCTTCCACGACGCCCCATCAGAGCCGCGTACCACAACCACACTACCACCTTGTCTTTTCACTTCCCGCTCGTACTTCACCGGTTCCCGCGATTTATTTGTTGATATTGTTGTCTGTTGACATATTCTCTCGATCGGCCGAACGTAACGCGTTGACCGACCACCATCTACCGAATGCATAACTCTCGCGTTTTCCTCTCTCATTAGTCTCATTTTGTTATCGGCTCCCAGAACGGATCCTCCTAGTGCGTTATCGTGACAACGTCTCCGTCCGCCGTCCCACCGAAAACCGCATCCATGTAATCTGACTGGTGACGAGTTTCCCGGGCAACTGTGGCGTTCGAAGACACGTCTTGAATAAAACGATCTTTGGACGTGTCCGTCCTGCTCAATCGCACGTGAGTCGCGCGTTTCCTGCTGCGATAACACCGTCGGCATATACTGCTGTGTTAAAAGCGAGTACGTATGCATCCACATGACAGCTACATAATTGCGGTTATTTGTGGTTTTATATTATTAATATTACCATTATTATATGTACTGCCATATTATTATGCAATTTAAACGTAAAATTGTATTCATAATGTACCTGCAGACGAGTTTCGTCTGACTCGAATTGTGTCGTTGAAAGATGCACATTAGTATGCCCACGGATMCGTCTTTTCATTATCCCTCTAGTGATGGAAATTWTTGTAAAGTATTCTAACCGTAACTTTTAATAATATTTTACTCTTCACGGGCTTATGGAGAATGGAGAAATGTTCACCGTTTCTGTCTCATTTAAAACTCTGGGGCACAGCATTATAGGGTCTAATAGAACTACTTCAACAAAATTCTGTTGACGCTTGTTTACAATTTTACCTTAGTACGGAATAGTGATTTAGGATAAGAGTATCTTATATATCAAATGATTCTGTGCTATTCTTATTCATGTCTAGATTATGAACAGCTTTATTTTGCATGTTCAACAACTGTTAATGTGAAATTTACTACGCATTATAATTTACTTAATAATAATTAATATTTTATCTCATGAAATTGCTTTTTATGAAATAATAATGAAATAAATATCTCMTAAATATTGGAGAAATATTAATCGAGATAGATTATCTAATTAGGAACATATTCGAATTAGGAATCTTATTAGGAACATAATTTGACCGAGATRTAGTATATCAATTACTGATTGTTACTACAAAGTAATTGGTTTTATTTATTATGAAATAGGTAAATGCAGAGACGGATTTACACAATTGCCGCCCCTAAACAAATTTTTTTTTTGCCGCCCCATTATGACTGTAAAAAAACAAAAAACGAAATATGTAATCTATGGTTAGTATTTAGATAATAGATAATATACGTTCCGGCAGTCGTTCAATTATTTACTTGGACGTTTATTGTTATGTATTAGTATTATAAAATAATAAATAAATTATATTAACGAGAATATTATGTTATACAAATATTAAACATTTTCATTTTCCATCCTTCAAAGTAATCACTCTACATAAGGAAATCAAAAAGAAACCTAGAGTATATTTTCAATAAAATATTGGCCTAAAATTGCCGCCCTAGGCAACTGCCTAATTTGCCTGACGCTAAATCCGCCACTGGGTAAATGTATAATTTTAAAGAAATAAGTTACTTTTTATGATAAAAWTAACTTTTTGCTATGTAAAATGTATATCATGTCATTTTTTCCAGTTCATATTGGTTACTGACACAGTGGCACAACAAAAAATTATGAATCTTTCTTTGATTGTCTTTGTCTCTTTGGCTCTGTCATTTTTTTATAGCTTATGTGTATTTAAGTAAGGTCTTACAATAAAGCCTAGTCTCCTCGTTCACATTGAAAATCCATAAGTTCGGTCCAACAAATATCAAACCACATTTATGCCATACTAAAATTGGCTTCTCTCTGATCTTTCCTTAATCAAGTGAAATTCAGTATTTATTATAAAAACATAATGTACGATGTAATTTCATTGTTTATTGCCAAATAACAATTTTTGGCACTAATTGTTTCAAATACTAAACCGATGTGTTGTTTCAATATCCAGATTGATTCACCATAATAAAATTTATGGCTGGTCTGTCCCTAGACATTTTGTTTCAATTATGCKACTCAATAATCCATGTTCAGCTAACTAACATCCTAATTTAAATAATAATATGTTATATTACATAACAATTTTAGAAAAAAGTGCAGTTTTTTTAATTACAATAATATGTTTGTACCTATATTAGTTTTTATACATTAAAAAATTTTTTTTCAATAAATTAGTTAAATTTTTATTAGGTCATCAGTTTTCCAATACAATTCAAATTTTTAACAGTTCTATGTCTTACAAGGCAAGTACATATTTAAATGGTATAACTCCACCATAAAATCATATTTACATATTTTTTTTATCTAATCAGTTTTCTACCACCTATTTTAATTAACAAATAACATTATTAGGTATGTATTATTATTAGGTATGTATGTGTTGTTTGTAAATAATTAGGTATGTCAGCAATAATACAACCTTAAGTCCAGCTGACATTCTACTATCCTCAGCTTGAGTTGATGTTCGTCTCATTTAATTTGCCATTAAATTATATGTTATACTAATCACTGATTAGTAATCATGTTATTTTATATTTTATCAATGAGAAGAATAAAACTACGCTTGTTGCGGGATGTTTAGTGATTGGCTAACACAATACATAGTATCCCGTGTGGATATACCCATTGGCCGTTGAGGGGGACTTTTCGTTCGGACAAGAACTAGTTTTTGCTATTTTATCTATAAACTAAAAAATTATTAAAAATCATGAGATTAATGAAAATAAAATGCTTAAAGGTAAAAATTGTATGCTAAATAATAAATAAACTATAAAATAGGTATCTTTATTTATTTTTAAAATAAAAATAATAATTTTTAAACTTTTTTATTTGCTATAATTATTTTATAATAAAAAGCAATTTAAAAAAAAAAAACTTTTTTACCAAGAAATTTAATCATATTAAAAAATAAAATACATGTAGCCCTTGTCTTTGTCAGTCTAATAAAAAAAAACAAAACAGATTTATGATTTATTTGTTACCTCAGGAGTTATCACAATGAGAAATCCTCGCGAGACACTGGTATATCACAATATTGAATATTGTGAACATATACCTATTTAGTATTTACTTTGTAGTGATGGTAGTGAGTCAAACTAGGTACAATTTTCATAAACTTGAAATTCAAATTTCAGAATTAAATCGGTTCCAAATTATTAAATTATTATAACTGATAAAAGGTAAATGGGAAATATTGGAAAAAAATAGTATTTTAAGGTGTATTGGTTTCCCTTCATTATAAGTTTCCACCTTATAGTGACATAGTTGAATAGTTATAGTAATAGAGAAATGCACACTCGTATCAGACTAAGAGAATTATTAAAATATTTAGACTTATTATCGAAACTATAAGTAAGCCTATTAATAATCATTATATTTTGCGGTACACCGGTTGGGAAACGCCRTATCTAGTCCCAATAAATTCATATTTAAATGCATTATTATTTTTATTTTTATAACTATAAAATACTTATAATATTTTGGTAATTTTGTATTATTCTAGGTATCAAAAATGGATAAATCGGAGAGGAAGAAATCTGCTGGTTTAAAAGTAATTAATAGATTTGTATATTATAATTAGATATTATACTTACTCTGTACTCATACTACTTATGTAACACTGATTTTTTATCAAATGAATTCCATTTTTTTTTCCACAAACAATTAATGTATTTTTGTATGCTAAAGACGAAGGTGAATTTCAGAATTTTGCATTAACTCAAAAATCGAAAGGCCATTTGAAGTTTGTCTTTTTACAGTTTTATAGATCTACTCAAGATGGTTTTAAATAACAAATTTAAGGATGTTTTTTATTTAAATTGTCTGAGCACCAAGTATGAGCTATCAAATATTTTACTTCAACACCTCCAGTATTAAAAAATCAGTGTTTCTAAAGAAATTTGCAATAAATATTTTATTTAATTCCTAAATTATTTATATTTATACTTAGTGATGGGTTCTTAAAATAGACATTTAAGAAAAATTTTAATTTGATCCTTCACTTATATACATACCATTGGCGGACTGAACCGATGGGCGAGGGGGTTAACGTGTCCTGGGCTGGTATGATAGCGGGCCCTCACAGGTATATTGGGCCCATGTGTACAACTGTCTAGTGATTAGTGATAGTGATTGGACATTGTCATAAAGACACTTATGTGCTGTGTTATGATATTAAAGAAATTTTTGGTCCTCTACCTAGGATTGTCCGTTGTCCGGGCCAATTTCTTACCCCAGTCCGCCCCTGATACATACCTACGTCCTACAGTAAWTTTTCCTTAATGATTATATATTTATATAGATTGTTAAAATACAAAATATAAATTTTTAATAAACAACTTCTGGTTCTAACAGCATATTTTAACTAGTTAGTAATAACTTGACTATTATAGTTGATAACTCTATGTATAATAATAAATATTTTATTATTACCTTTAATATCGCTTTAGAATTTTATGTATGTCYATACAATTTTTTAAAACATTAGTTCAGTCCTATACAGTTACACATTTTATATGTGATTTAAATTTCAATATTTGTTTTAACACATTTTTAAGAATATGTATAAGATAATTTCTATGTTGGTATCACTGACTACCTATCTCATTAACTGACAACTGTACATCGAAAGATTTTTCTTATCCATTTTAGTTATTTAATAATATTTTAAAGATATTATGTTTGCCTTTATTTTTTTATTGTTATGGTTTTGAAAAATGAGTACCTTAATGGTAAGTTAAGTTTAATATGTATTTTATTTCCTTAAGGCATTTCTATCAGTAAAAAAATTACAAATTACAYGCAATGTTAATAATTTAGTGTGTATTGTTTTAATGCAGATTAATAATAGCAATGTTAAATATAATTTATCATAATTTAACATTTATTTACCTTATTAAATTATGGTAATATAACAAAACATTTAATATAATAATGCCTTTCCACTTAATACTCATTCTAATAAATTGTGCTTCATTTCTGTATTATTATTTGTATAAAATCAACTTTATTTCTTAACTGGATTGAATTTATATTATTAACAACATACAATTTTTTCGTAGAATTAATTWAAAATAATATATTATTATTATAATTTAAATTTGTTTATTTTTTAGGAAACCAATAAACTTTTAAAACCAGAACAACATTTTATTGGATTTGATATTGATGATGAACTTTTGATAATCATTGAAAATAAGAAAAAATGTAAGGTTTTTGATGCTACAATATGTTTAAAGAACTTTTGTATTTAACTTAAAATTAAATATATGAATTATTAATTTTAAATTATATCAAATTTTTTTTGTTTTTGAAAATGTTCAGCATTAAAAATGGAACTTAGTAAAGAAACAACAGGTGAACCTGTGGAAGTAGAAGAGCCCTCCATTGTTAATAATAACCATGTTAATAAAAAGAAACCGTCTAAATCAAGTAGTAAGTTGTGAAGTTAATATTTGTAAACCTATTCATGTTCTTGAATTTTATATCATGTAAATAAATAGATGATAACATATGTAATATTTTTATAATTAATTTATAGTATCATCACCWGAACCTAATGATGTCAARAACAATCGTAGTAACAAGAGGCATAAGAAAGACAATTTACGCAGTGATGCTTTAGAATCTTCAGAGTTACAAGTTCTCCCTACTTTAGGTGAGTGATAAAAATGTGTAGTACGTGTATTGAAAAATCGATACAACTCCTCATATGTTTTTAGAGTAGGACATAATTTCCTAATTCTCCCCACTCAATATAAATACATAACAAGCAATAATTATTTTGGGTATTATTAAATTCTTTTTTTAACGTATTTGTTTTGATGCTTCCATTACATCTTAATGATCTTATTTTCTTTGTTGTACACACACCCATTGTATTTCACCTGAATTTCTTATTGTTGTGTAATAAAAAAGTAAAAATTTCCTTAGTATATTAATGAACTTTTTTTTTGTTAAAATAAAATATCAATACCATTATAATTAATAAATTGTTATGTTTAAATTACCTAATAGTTAGATCACAACTAAGTTTCGTACCACTTAAATGTGGCTTGTGAGTATGGTATTGTGAAAACCTTGGGTCTACTATTTTATCTTTTATTTTAATCTTATCATTGCATTAACATTTTGTATTCGGAAATGCCAATTGAAATATGTATATGGGTACCAACACAATATAATATATTATTTATAGTTAGTAAACAAGTGCTGAATGACATATTATTATATTATATATAATACCTATATTATAAATTTATTACATAAGTTTTAGAAATTGAAACTAAAAATGTTTTTTGAATGATGTTATACATTTCATTTTTCATTTTTTACTGCAATTTATAAWTTTTGTAATATTATAAGTGCAATCTAGTATTAAATTATAAGCTAGTGCCTCAATATTATTATTAGATGTTGATATAGTACCTAATAAATTATCTTTAAAAAAAGTATTAAGCAAATAGTTAAACTGATCATGATGCTACATAAAAAAATTGAATAATTTTTTTAATTTAAATTCATAATTTATAAACCTTAGTGTTTTAAAAAAAAATAGTAATGTGTAGCCTGAGGAAGTTTTTGAAGAATACAAATTTGTTTCAATGCACAATTTAYTAAGCAGTGTTTAGGTTCAAAAAATTGATAAAATGTATAGATATAACCATAGTATTTTCATACCATAAAGTATTAACTAATGCATACAATATTGAATATTAAGTTACTATATGTTGTTTGATATCCTATGTTGCACGTCATGATATTTCTCTGAAATATCAAATTATAAAAGCAACAGTTATTTATTTATATTCAGTATAAGTTTTGTAATAAACAGGACTCACTTTAAAATAATAATGATTGGTTTTAAATAAGATTATTATATAAAATAGTTATTTATTTGTTTTTAATATTTGTAGAACTTAGTACTCCAACATTCAACCTCACCTCATCTAACGCTAGAGCACGTCGTAGTACAGGTAGAAAAATAAATGTTGATATCAGTGATGCTATTTTCAAACTTCCATTTGAGCATGGTAAGTGAATTGTATTAATTATTTGTTTTTGTATATTAATTTTGTTAATTTTATTTTCAGGATGGAAACGAGAATTAGTTTACAGAACATCGGGTGAATCTACAGTTCTTAATCGARCAAATAGAAGTGGTGATGTATACTATTATTCTCCAAGTAACCGAAAACTTAGATCATTACGAGAAATTCAAGAACAATTGGACATCTCGCCTGATAAGGATCTAACTATAGAAAGTTTTACATTTTTAAAGCAACCAATTGGCTTGAATGACCGATCAAAAGAACTGATCAGAGATGCTAATTCTAAATTATCTAAAGTAATGAAAACAATTGTTATATACATTATAAGGGAAACTATCAATTTTTTTTTTTGCCTATTTGTAGCAAATCATTCCATAAAAACTATTTAGAAAACATTTTATTTTGTATACTTAACTTTGTATATTATTATTTATTTTGTGTTATATAATATACTATTTTTTATTCCTTCCCTGCTTTTTCTTAAATTCTTAGAAYATTTTAATTTTTAGACTTAAATAAGTAATAATTAATTTAAAAAAAATGTAATCTAAAACTAAAACTTTAAGACATTGTTCATTTTATTTTTGATTATATTTTAAATTCTATAAATTAAATTGAATTTATAAAAGTTAGTCAGTTTAAATAAGATAAAATAATTTTGAATTTATAAAATAAATTTGTCATCTCTATTTTTTTAAATATATTATTTGTGTAATTTTCTTTTTTCATYAAACATTTTTATGTTTTTAGGAAGATTCATTTGTTGGTCTTGCTGTTAGACCTAAAAAATCTAAAACACCTGTACAACGACCACCATTTGATTATGAATTGTCAGAAGATGAAAACAACAAGTCTTCAAGTAAAATGAAGGTTGTTTTTAAAAATGCTAAGAGCTCCTCAAGATCAAGATCTAAAAAAGGTAAATGTAAATATATTTTATATACTTTTTTATTTTTATTTGTAATTTATTAATAAAGAAATCAATTTTTCTTTAATATATCAAAAAAAAAAAAATTAAAATTTGTCTTTAATTATATATTTATAATTTATAAAATAAACATAATTCATACGATTTACATTGACTCTTGCAGTTGTCAATTTATCTAACATAATCTCAAATAATATTGCATCTCATTTTAAAATTCTGGAATGCACTTATTAGGCGACAATCTATCTATAGAATATTTAAATAAAATACAATTCACATTTTTTCAAAATTGTACGCAATATAATTTTCCTTTTGATGGAACTTTCTGTGTATTTACTTGCTTATTAATCTGATTAATTTATAGTTATTTTATATTGTGCAATTTAAGTACAGAATTAACAATTTATTTTATCACATAGGTAATTCAGAATCATTGAACGCCTCTTCATCTACACCTGAATACATATCTGAAGACTGGCAAGCTATTAAATCTAGTGCATCACCTAAAGTTTCTTCTCCGAAACTTGAGAATATTGATATAGATAACACAGTTAATAAAAGACGGTAACATAATGGCTTTATTTTTTATTGTTATGCTTAAACAGTTTTTGCTTATTAGTTTATTATTTTGCTTCAAAAATGTATTGCAAAATTAAGGGGTTGTTATCCTTATGCTTCCTTCATAATCCTTCCTCAATCAAACCATATACGTGAATGGATAAAAATAGGTTGTCAACATCAGATGGTGAAGTTATTATGCAAACACCTTGTGGGATACGGTGCCCAAATAGTGATGAACCTGCCACTTTGATGTGTGCTCAATGTTTGGTCTACTATCATCCAGCATGTGTCAATTTAAATGCTAATTTAAAAATTGTTGGTTATGTCTGTATAGTAAGTTATTATTTGTAGTTATCATTATTTTGTTTAAATCAATAAAACAACATTCATTATTGGATTTATATTTTTATTTAGAACTGTCGATCTACTGTGCGACAAAGAAATAGACGTGTACAGTCCTCTCATACAGTGATTATTGGTGCTTCTGAACCAGAACAACTGCGTGTTGAACCAATTCGTATACGACAACTTCATCAAGGGTCGGAATCATCAGACACACCTAATTTTATTATTGATAGAACACCAATTTCTAAAACTGAAGAAACACATAATGAAATTGATGAAAATAGTGATGATAATGACTCTGATATAATAAATACAGTTATTTGTCAAGGAAATGAATATAAAACTACAATGGTTGATGGTAATTTCCATGAACAATATGTTTATGAAATGAAACAAACACGAGGACCTAGTTTGATGACATGTGTTATTCAAGAACCTAAAAATTTGGATGAGTAAGTAAATGTGTTTCTATCTTCCCTATCTTTTGGGGGGAATGTAGTCATGGACCAGGCACACAATAGCGTTGGTCATTGGTCTTATTTGTATGAATGAGTGTATGTAAAATGTTCATTTTTTTTACTACTTTAATYATTTGATTGTGTTTGTTTTCAGATTTGAGCGGAAAGTCAGCATTCCTATATTCCTTCCAACCCCTTTTTGTTATCTTATTGTTTCTTACGTGTTCTGAGGCCTAATTTTGTTTGCATGTTAAAGCTAGTGGTCTTTATATGTGCCTGGTCGAGAACATAAATAAATATTTAAGAATGCTTTCTTATAATAAGAAAAATCAAATATTATTAACTTAATTTTTCTTTTTTAATAAAACTTTTCAGGAATTCTGAAATGAATGGTTCATTAAGAGAAGTTGTAACACCTTTTGCATCCATGCAATCATTCAATTACATGGTTAAAGCATTAAGACATGTTTTTAAACATCTGAAAACACATGAGCTTTTATCAGCTTCTAGAGTATGTACTGCCTGGCATATAATAGCAATGAATAAGTTCTTGGTAAGTGCAACCTTAAAATTTCATACGATGTATTTTTGCTAATATATTAAATATTTTTAGTGGCAGACTGTTCGCTTAAAAAATTCTATGGTTTATGACTGGGAAAGGTTTGTAGACTCTATTGATCAACAAAGAACTGAAACATTAGATACTAGGCGTATGTTGATACCTGTTAAAGTTGAAGAATTCGAAAATTTTTGGTTGCGTTTTTCTATAGCTATGAAAAGAGCTCAAAAGTTGAAATTCATTGAATTATATAGATGTCCTACCCATGTTGTTGAAGATATTATTTACTCATTACCTCAAATTGAAATACTTAATGCTAGTTCAATAAAGTAATAAAGAAATTTTATTATTTGTTTTTCGACCTATTTAATGATTTGCTTTATTTTTAGAAATCCAAATGTTACAAAAGARGCAAAAAATGTCAATGATTTTATGCTCCTAAACTTAAATTATTTGGGACAAATGACAAAGCTCACAGAGTTAAGACTAAAAGGATTAACTGGAATAAAATTGACGTCCTTGCCATCATTTGAAAATTTAGTAAATTTGAATAAATTTGTGAGTTTAATGATTACTAATACATATTAAATTAAAATATTTAAGGGTTGAAAATAATTATATTTATTTTTACTATCATTATTTAGTCATTAACCTCTATTAAATCATTTCCAAAAGACATCTGTCAGAGTTTGGATACTATTACTGATAATATTGAGTTTTTGGAAATTGGTGACTGTGATTGCTTATCAAAGGATTTTGCCGCATCACTAAAAAGATTTGTCAATTTGAAATCATTGAGATTAGAAAATTGCTGTGGTAGATGGGAACAATATGCACAAGAAGTTTTTACTGTCATTAGAGGACTTGAAAAGCTCAAGATTTTGGAATTGATAAATATAGAATTCAGTAATTGTGTTGAAGATGAATTAGAAAAATGTGATGGTATTAAAGCTTTACTGATAATTCCTGCTTATGTGAGCCAAGTATGTATACTTATTATGTATTATATTGATTTATTACGTTTAAATATTCAAGTATTAATGTTTTGTTTTTTTTTAGTCCGCTACTACTAACTGTCACCTAATTGACTGTCTCAAGATACTCTCTAAGACATTAACACACTTGGTTTGGGGATTGACTCATGAGTTACTCCGTGTTACAGACTTGTTTATAACTCAATATCAACAAAACCAGCATACTATTGGTTATAATTTAGAATTATCTCATACCAAAGAAACAACCAACAATATACCTATATTGAGGACAAGAAAGCCCAGGCAGCGACCAGGAGATGAGCCTGCTCCCGAAAAGGAAAAAGAAAAAGACAAGTCAGATAATGTTGATATACTTTCAGTTCCTGCACTAGAAAAATTGTTAGATACAATGATGCCTGATGCTAAGACTAAAGTAATTAAGGTTCCCTTTTCTGGAACTGTTAGAGTTTATTTAAGTGAACAGTTTAATGATCTTTGAATTAAATATGTAGTATTCATAGGTTTCTCTATATGAGAAACCTTTTACGTTATGATTCTATTTTTTGTGACCATGGAAATTTTTTGTACTTCAAGGTGGAGATTTTAATAATGACTTAAATTATTAGTTATAATGTATATGTATTATATTTTTCTGTATGTATAACTAATCATAAATGTTATCATACATTTAGTAGTCTTATATTTGTAATAATTTTATTTCATTTATAATTCATATTTTTTTTTTTCATTTTGTAAATAATATAAATCTTTAAATGAAAATGTAAATCTTGCTATTCATTGTAAATTAATTTTGATCCAAACCTAAATAAAATTAGGTTCAAGAACTTTTTAAGGAACAGTTAAATTYTATGTACTTTTTATGAATATAATTCACGCAGTTATCAGTTTTAAGACTGATATCAATTGTCTATAACTTAAATAATATGATATTACTATTAAAGTTAGTATATTTTTGTTTGTTATAAAATAAATAATTCAATATCGATAACCGATTATGTATCTTTCATAAATACAAGAAGATAACTTTTAAAGTGATCCAATAAATAAAGAAAAACTGTATAGTTCTTAATTGGTATATAACGGAAATTGTATTTCATGTTCCCACTGATTATAAATTGTTTATTTTTCATAACATTCTCTATTAATTTGCATGTTAATGAAAATAATTTACTAAAACAATTTATAYGCATTTACCTTTACTATGTATCATAATATCAAAATTGTAAAAATAATTTAAGTATTCTACATTATTATTATTCAAAACTTGTTTATAACATGAATAGTTTCTAGATGTAGTATTGCACATGAGCGAATACCCTTGTATGAAAACAAWATGCCTTGGGTCATTCTTGGCTTTGTGGTACGTCTATCTGCCCATGGTCATGCTTACAAAATGTGTATAGAAGCTATTGATAATTGATACTTGTTCATGACGCTTAAATGTAAGATATAAAAATGTTTATATATTTATAATATTTTTATATGAAGCAGTTAAATCTAAAACTTAAGAAATTATTAATTATGCCAGTATGTTACATAAATTTGGAACTATTCCAAATAAACACGATTTTAAGGGTTCATMATTTATATAAACTWGAGTAATTTTATTAGACACTATTACTAAAGATCTATAGTTATATTACTCCATAATATAAACATACAAATAATATCTGTGTTGTATAAATCTGTAGATATTATACTGAGTTGTACAAATTATAATGGTTCCTATGACTATATAATTTTTTCGAGTCACTCTTCRATGCCACCATTTGTTTTTCAATCTTTAATAATCTTAGGATGTAATGATTTGATATTGTGTTGATTTTTGAATTGTTTTTAAAATAAATGTGCAAGTTAATGAATTTGATGAACAGAAAGTGGGTAAATGAATAACACTGCCATGTATTGGCTGTCTGCAAAGTCACTTTAATAAATGTTATAAATTTGAATTCAGTAATCTTTTTAGGTACATGGAAAACATTTATRATTGAAGACAACTGTCAGTCTATCGTCTATCATATTATGAAGTATATTTTATGATAATTTTGTGATTAAAAGAAATTTATTTGACTGATTGTACTATAGTTTGTTAAATAAATTTTTTCCATAAAAATTGCAATTGAAAATGTGATTATCTGTATACATTATACAATATAATGTACTCTTGAACTCTGAAGTACCTACGAATAAAGTTTTTAAATTACAATAAAATTACTAAAAACATTGTATTAGGTTTTAGTAWATAATTTCATTCAAATTTGAATATAAAATGTGTATAGTGATTTATTTTTGTTTTTGCTTAATACCATAAGAACTTTTTACGATAATCCTTGTTTAAAGTTTTCAATTCTTAGCTATAAAAAAGGATCAAAAAATGATTTAACTACAAAATAAATAGAACATTTTTGAGATTTTGATAAATTTTATTAAAATTATAACTTATAATATAAATTGTGTCTTTAAATTTTTAATATTTATCAACTGCTCTYTGGTATAGCAACTTTTTAAGGAATCTTTTACGACATTTTAAAGCTTTTTGATCCACCGAATAAAATGTTATTGACGCCTAGAATAAAAATCTAAGAAAATTAAAAATGTATTTAAGTTATTTAAAACTACTAAAGTACTAAYAACAGTAAACTATCRTGTTAGAGAATAAAATAAACTTTTGTTGAAAATGTCAAGTACTTACATAGAAGAGTAGTTTTTGTGAAAAAACGAAATACGAGAATCGTTCCATGAGAATTTATTTATTTACTGGAGAACGTGCAATGTGTAACTTCAAACGCTGGTAAAAWTTTTTTTAACRTAATTGAGATAGTAAGATAGAAATAGGATGATGGGAAATTTTATATGAGTTTCCAACTAGAAATAATTTTTTTCGTAATTTTGATGAATTTTATCCAAATTTTAACTTAAGACGCTTGTATAAGAATTTATTGTGGATTTATTCTGATTTTTTTTTTTRTAATTTCTGTCAACAACTTACGAAGAAAATGATGTCTTACATATTAATACGTTTTGACGGAGTTTGAATTTTTAACTGGCAATAATTTTTTAAAAACTTATAAAAATGGAAATTTTCTTATGCCTGTACCTAAATAAATAGTTCAATGAGTAGCAATAGTAGCGGATCCAGGGTATGCAAAGGGGTAATTATGTTTCTGACCCTTCAAAAGTTCCAATTAGAGATTCACCTTCTTACCAGACACCATTAATTATGGGGTGTTGAAGACAATCGAAGGTTATTGGAWTTCGTGTCGAATCCAATCTTGATAAATCTTATCAGTTTTCATATATTACCAATAAATTGTTAGGACATAAGTTTTTATTCTTTATTTTTAAACTGTCACTGTGATATACATTGATAACTATAGATTTTAATTTCTTACTTTCTTAGTGATTTACTCAAAACATTTAACAAAGAGTGTGAGTAAATATATGACGTACCACGTACATGTTCGTAGTACGAACAAGTACAACTTGCTTGTTGCTTGTTGGCGAACGACAAAATTTTGAAATCGCACATCGCACCTGTACGTAGTAATGATAATATTTTTAACATAACAATATTGTAAAGCATTGGACATGGCCAAGAACGTTTATTTTTTGTATACGTTCTTATTTTATCTATGCACACGATCGTCATTGGCGTCAAATGTGTCCACATCGTCTACTACGTCCATGTAAGTACACATTTTTCAGGATTTATTTTTGGGATCTGTGAATAGCCAATAGTATTTTTAAGTAAATCGTTTTCAAATGAATTCTGCTTTGATGTCCATTCATTTCTCGGTCTAGAGATGTATTGCCTGATGGATGTCAAAGTCTTTTGCAATCATTTGCCAACGAGACGGCCAGGTTCACTCTGTGCGTAGTAACTAATGCTCGGCCAATCACTGTATGCGAAAAATGTGCGAACGAGTTCAATCAAGTCTTCAAGAGATACGAAGAAATACAAAAGGTTTGTACAACTGTGAAGTAATCACTATTCACTACTTGTATAATAAATGTAATTGTTATTTTATTTTTTTTTGTTCTCCTTCAACAGTTACATAACAATGATAGTGAGGTAGACTGTCGAGCAGTTTTGACTAATATTGATCGCTTACAAGTTGTGTATGCAAGTTATAACTATGTGTTGGATATGTGGGACAAAGCTTCTTGCAAACGTCAGTACTTACATATTTACTACAACTAATACTTGTTGTTTATACTTGTAATATAACCAGTTTTTATTTTATTATTATAGTGTGTTTAAATGGTACTGTTTTCAATGAAAAGACGAAAGGAGTGATGACACGAGGTGATAATTTAGATGAGTGTATATCAAAACACATAAATAACACCAAATTTTCAAACGAATCAATTTGTACCGACTGCAAACAATACTATGTGAATTTAACCAATTACTATAATAGGTATAAAAACGATAACACATTTTGTATGGATGTTGTTGATCTGGTGAGTGAATTGGTTGGCTAGTTAAGTAGTTTACTTTAAAAGTCACATTTTAAACCACTGATTTATTGTAGATAAACAACACCCAAAGTGATTGGAGTTTAAAATGGAAATGCCATGTATCTAACTATGATTCTGAATGGGTTTTACTTGTCATTTCGTTTATTGTACTTTTAATGCCTATTTTATTTTATTTTATCAATTGGTTAATATCCCAGGAAAGATCAAATGTATTATTATCACGTGAGTATTTTATTTCTTTTATTTAGTTTTATTGTAAATTATGGTATGGTTAACTTACAATATTCATTGATTCATAGAAAACCGTTGGCACCAAAGGCTTACTAATAATGCAGCATCAACTTCCGGTTACGTTGTTATATCCTAAGTTAGTGTTAGTATTGAATGGAGTATCAGTACTTTAAAAATGTTTATTACATTCATTATGTTATTATGACTTAAGTATGATATAATCTGGTAATATAACATGTTTATTCATATATATCAATTGTTAAGTYAATTAATCATATTTAGTGTCAACTGTGATATTTGTTAACTATGAGACATATAAAATTAAATTGTACTACATTTATTATATAATATTATGTTCAATTTAAAGTCTTGGAAACAAATTGTAATTTAAATATCATTTTTATTGTTTAATTTTTATAGAATTATACCAAGTTATATATTTTTATTTTTATCGGTTCTAATATATATTTTTTAACTTATCATTTGTATTACACAAATACTCAWACACATCTTGTGCTAATTGTTCTATATTATTTTGATGCTAAACCAATGTAGTGGATAATTGTTTCTATTCAATCCATATCAGACAAGAGGTGTAAAATGTCAATTGGATGCAGTTTCTATATGTGTCGGTTAATTATTATATATATATATATATATACATATGAATATTTATATGGATAWATGTAAATTATCCAGCACATCAGAGTAATCCAAAAATACTCTAATTCACATATTCCTTACCAATGACAAGTGAAATTCAATACTATTGTCTTAAAATTTCCAAAGATGGTCATAGTATAACAATAATTCAAAAACTCGTGCTAAAAAACTTAAATATTTTATCTGTTGATAAATTGGTTAATTTCAATCATAAACTATATTTTACTGATAATCGCAAAACAGCCATACAATTACTGACTTAACTTATTGAGTGATGCAATAAAAACCAAATAAACTAGTTTTATTTTAAAATAACAATGAATAATATTGTTAATTTCTTTCTATATTATWCATGCTTTAATGCTTAATTTGTTATTGAGTTTAGAAAAACGCTTGCATAATTTGTAAATAACAATTATATTTTCTAGAATTCAATCATCAAAATTATATTCAACTGAATGTTCAATTAATTGAATTATTGATGATAGTTTACATTGTTCTAGTTAGATGAAATGTTAATTTTAAATGTAGTGTAAT